AGCTGAGCACCAGTATCTCTCTCTCTTTCTCTCTCTCCTTCCTGACTATGGATGCAACATGACTAGCTATTTCAGGCTCTTGCCACCATGGCTTCTCCGCCATGATGTATCCTCAAACTCTAAGCCAAAGTAAGCCCTTCCTCAAGTTGCTTTGTCGGGTATTTTATCATGACAACAAGAAAAATAAGGAATACATATGTTCTGAAAGAGAGCACTCCGGGTGCCTGGCAGATTTCGACCCACGTGGATCTGTTCATTTGTTCTAGTACGAGAGGACACGAGAAGAAGAGAAGGAAACTGGGAGGAGGAGGAGGAGGAGGAGGAGGAGGAGGAGGAGGAGGAGGAAGAGGAGGAGAAAGAGGAAGCAGTTTAGGCTAGAGGACCCCCAAAATGGGAATCCACACTCACCTACCTGCTCGATCTCCCGGCAGCGCCGACCTAGCGCCTGGTACTTTCTTCTGTTTAGTTCCCGTTGGCGACGCCTGCGACCCCGAGCTGCCTCTTCCTCTTCATCCCGCTCCCGGAGTCCTGAACCACCCAGACCACCGGACACAAACTCCACTTCTGTCTCTAGCTCACTCTCCAGGATGTGGCCACCAAACAGGGGAGGCAGAGCCAGCTCTGAGCCTGGTGGCGCTGAGAACTCTTCAAAGCCCACGGCTGCCATGGTCCTATAAGGCCGATAGGTTTCAGGAACCGTGCTCTCCAGTCCCTCCTCAGACACTCGGGTCCAGGCCCCAGCCTTCCTCCCGCACACCCTGGGGTCCAGGCCCGAGCCCTCCTCCCTAACACCCAAGAATCAGACCCTAGCCTCCTTCCTCACCCTCAGGAGTCCAGGCCCTACCCCTCCTCCCTCACATCCAGGGGTCCAGGCCCCAACAACCCTCCTCCCTCACTCCTAGGAATAAGACCCTAGCCTCATCCCTCAGATCTTGGAAACCACGCTCTTCTTGCTCTCAGATCCATGAGGGCACACAAACTCCTAGTCTTCTTCCCTAGGATGCTCCAGTACAGCTACCAGCACCCCAAAAAGATTCTAAAAGAAAACAACTTCACAAACTACAATCCCCACCCGCCTTAAGACCACTCCGGTCGACTGCTGCACATCACGCAGCAGTGTTTTCGGATTTCTCGTTTACACAAAGCTCCGCTACTCACCCCTCTCTCTGTTCCAGCTCCATTTCTTGGATCAGGAGACACCTCAAGCCTCAAATAGGTGGCGCCGTGCACAAAACTACCTGTCCCATTAGGCCTTGCGACACAGGAAAGCTTCGTGTCTTCTGGGAATTATAGTTTCCTAATCCCCACCTTCGTTTGCACCCGACTCCGAATTGCGGCTTGAAGTCCTTGATGTATCCTCTAGCGCCTCCACCGATCGTCTTCGTCGACACCGTCTTTATCCCTGTCTCGTCGCCGTGTCATAGAGCCAAAGCGATTTTCCACTTACCAGGCTCAACCCACAACGTCGTCGCACCAACTCGCCGAGCTCCACTTCCCGGCTTGCCGTCCAGCGAGAGAGGACGCTGCTAATAAAGTTGTTGTCCAAACGCTGCCGGAAACATCGCGGGAAGCGGCCAATCAGAGCACAGATTACCGGCGCCGGATAAGACGTCATCAAAGAGCGCCGACAGCTCTGCGGAAAGCGGATTTCTTAGAAACGGTTGTGAGAGGATCGAGTTGGTGAGTGTGGTGGAGACGAAGGGAGAGCGGGAAGCCAAGCTACTGGGTCTGGAGGAGAAAGTGTAGCGGCCGACTTAAATCATAGCCTAAGTAATTCTAAACGCATGAAGCGCCTTAGAACCGATATACAGGACGTGTGTAAATCATAACGTAACTTAGTCTAGGCTGGAATGGGGCATGTGGACCAGACAGGTGGAATGTGAGAGCTAAAGGCAGGGTGAGGGGAAGGGAAATGATTGTTCAAAGACCCAGAGATGTGGAGAAAAGTTGCCAGGTCAGGTAGCACCTGGAGGGTGTGTGGGTAGGAACTGGAGACCTCCTCCCTGAACAAAGCAAGCTGTGGAGCCTGCATGCTGTTGGAGCTGATGAGGAAGAAACTTCAGGGCTTTGGGGAGGAGGTGCTCCTAATAATATAAAGGGACAGAGTCAAGGTGCAGTATTAGGGAACCCCATTCTCACTTTCCTATAGGCCTTGGGATGTCGCTGGCCGATGAGCTCTTGGCTGACCTTGAGGAGGCAGCAGAAGAGGAGGAAGGAGGAAGCTATGGAGAAGAAGAGGAGGAGCCAGCAATCGAGGATGTACAAGAAGAGACACAGCTGGATCTTTCTGGGGATTCAGTCAAGAGCATTGCCAAGCTATGGGATAGCAAGATGGTGAGGTGGTACCCTATAATAAGCCAATGTTCCTGGGAGGAGGAGAGGTAGGAACAGCAGTTCTTCTTTCTGAGAGTCCCGGTTGCTGACTGTGTTCTCCTTTCCCATCAGTTTGCTGAGATCATGATGAAGATTGAGGAGTACATCAGCAAACAAGCCAAAGCTTCAGAAGGTGCCTCTTCGCTCTTGTCCATTCTCCTGGCCCCGTGACTCTTTGCTCATTGTGGTTTTGGAAACTGAATGTCTCTCCCTCCTTGGCTTTCCCTATAGCATACTTCTTTTCATCCCAGTCACCAACCCTGTGAAAACATGTTGCATTGTACCCAGGCATGTTGATGGGTGCTTATAATCTCACCACGTGGGAGGCTGAGACAGGAGGGTGTGTGAGCTAAAGTCCAGTCTTGGCTACATAGTTAGGTGAGGGTCAACCTGGGTAAAACCCTGTCTCAAAAATATATACATACATGGCTAATAACTATCTGTAACTCTCGTTCTTAGAGATCTGACACCTTCTTCTGGTTTATGCACATATATACATTGCACTATAAAACCGGATACTTAAGCCCTATGTGTTTTCTATGGAAAAATTTACATTTAAGTTTTCTATTTATATTTAAGTATAGAATAGATAAATTTAAATATGGAAACAAGGCCTCACTCTGTAGCCCAGGATGACCTGGATGTCACTAGGTAGCCTATAATGGCCTTGAACTCTGAGAAACCATCCTTTTTCAGTCTCCTGAGTGTTAGGATTAGAGGCATGAGCTATCACACCCAGCCTGTAGTCCCCACAGTGGGACTGACTAGTCCTGCATTGAGTCAGAAGTGCCACCTTAATTGGAGTTTGAATATTTGTGGTAACCCTAGAGAAAGAGCATGGTCTGTCCCTAGCCCTGAGTCATTGTGAGTGCCAGAAGACTCAGATAACAGCTTCTACAGGATCTCATGTGTCAGGCTGAGAAGCTTCTTGTTCCATAGAGCCAAGGAAAGTCACAGAAAGTGGCATTTCCTGATGTCAGGTCTGATGAGTCAGACCTGCTCATATCAGTTATCTATCTAGTGGAAGTAGATGCAAAGCATGTCTAGCAGAGATGGCCCAGGTCATGGTAAGGAGAGAAGACATCTCACCCTTCTAAAAGGAGAGGGAAGTGTCTTCCCTGCCCTCTGAGTTTTAGTGGCTTAAAGAGACATTTGGCTGAGCAGTGGTGGTGCACACCTTTAATCCCAGCACTTGGGAGGCAGAGGCAGGCGGATCTCTATGAGTTCAAGGCCAGCCTGGTCTACAAAGCGAGTTCCAGGACAGCTGGAACTGTTACACAAAGAAACCCTGTCTCAAAAAATTAAAAAATAAAAAAGACATTTGATGCACATATTATTTAATACCAATATAATTATGCATAAATTGAAGTTTCTGGAAACAGACTCAGGGTAGGAAAGGAGATGGAACAGTGCTCATGAAGGCCAGGAGTAGTGAAATAGCCCTGAATGCCCAGTGTCTGGGAGGATAAGGCAGGAAGACAGAAAGGCTATGTGGAGCTGATGAGTCAGTAGATCTCCCTGGAGTGACTCCTGTGCTGTGTGTACCAGGGCTGCAGGTGTGGGGAACATGTACCTAATACTTTTCCTTATGGGGCCTCCATCTATATGGGAGACCTTGAGTGCCAGTTTGAGGATCTTGCTCGTTAGCCTCAGGGCTTTGGAGAGCCACCGAAGGGTTTAGTTTTGGAGCAAGATGAAGTCAAAGTTAGATTAGCCCAGAGGATGGACTGCAGGAGAGAGATGAGAGGCAGGAATAAGGATCCTGAAGAGGTTTCCAACCACCCAGTACATGCTTTAGCCCCTTACTTAGCCCTTCAGCCTCTCCTTCCTGATCCCAGCCAGCTTCAGCTCCAGTCTTCCCCATCTTTGTGACTTCAGAGGGCAGGGTGACCCTCCCTCATCCACCTCTTCCTTCTTTATAGTGATGGGACCAGTGGAGGCAGCCCCAGAGTACCGAGTCATTGTGGATGCCAACAACCTGACCGTGGAGATAGAAAACGAGCTGAGTGAGTGATGGGAAGGGCCATGGAGACAGCCCCGTCCTGTGCCCTTCAGTCTTTCTCTATAACCCAAAGGGAAGAACAGGCATGAACCTGGACCTCTTCTGTTTGCCTTTCTTAGACTACTGCTCTGACTAGGTTCACCTTCTGTAACAGACTAATTTACATAAAGAGAAAGTGTATTCTCCTTCATAAGAGTCCGAGTAAACAGAGCAGGTCACTCTTTGAACCCATTCATCAGCCAGACTCTGCCACCTGTTTCATGCTCCAGGGTCCCAACCAGCAAATAGGGAAGGAAGATAGGGCATGGTTGTTTTCTTAAGGCCACGGTCTGAAAGTTGATCCTGTAGACATTAGAACAAACTCCCGCCTGCACACAGCACTGGGGACAGCTAGGAAATGGAGACTTCATGCACCAACCCATGATTTGGGGCTGTTTACTAGAGAGGCGGAAGGGGTATTGGGGATAGCAGCAGAGTCGGCCTCCCCCTCAGTGGACACCTGCCCTCCCTGTCCACTTTAGACATTATCCATAAGTTCATCCGGGATAAGTACTCGAAGAGGTTCCCTGAGCTAGAATCCTTGGTCCCCAACGCTCTGGATTACATCCGCACAGTCAAGGTGAGTGGAGAGGAGTCTGGCTCCAGAAGAACTGGAGCACTAGACCATGAAGCCTCAGGGTCTAGAAATGATGACATGGCATGGATGGGGGCTCAGTGGGAAGGGACAGATACTGGAGAGGATGTCTCACACACATCTCTTGCTTCTCTCCTCCCCTTGGTCTTGTGGGAAGATCCCCATTGACCTGGCCCTTGCGTCTGGCTGCCGTTGGAGCAGGTGTCCTTTGAACTGGCATCTGAAGGCTGACGTAGGCAGAGGCTGCAGCTAGATCAGAGCTAAGATCCTGAGTGGGAACAAATAAGGAGGAAATGAGACGAGCCAGTGGGGAGAGCCGGGACAGGTCTGAAAGGTCAGAGTGTATCAGACATGGAAGGTCTGGGCTCCTCTGGGAGAAGTGACAGGAGCAGGTGGAGGTAAAAGAGCAGGGGTCCTGCCCCTGTCCAGGAGATGAGGATGGTAGCAGAGGCAGTCTGTTTCTAGTCGTGAGCTCCTGCAGGCTGCTTTAGTGCAGCATGTCTTCTTGAAGGCCACTTTGCCCAGGTTCCACTTGTGGGTCAGCAGAAGAGCAGGCAGTGCTGATGCTTTAAGCAGCAAAGTTATGAAACTGTAAAAGGCCAGAGAGGTCTCCAATATACAGACCTTAGCTTTCCCAGGTTCCTCAAGGGGAGACCTGTGTTAGTGTTGGAGCAAAAGAGCTTCTAGCATCTTTTGGGAGTTACTATGATTTCTCTCTTTTCCCTCCCTTTTCTCTCCCTTTCCCACCCCAGGAGCTGGGCAACAGCCTGGACAAATGCAAGAACAATGAGAACCTGCAGCAGATCCTGACCAATGCCACCATCATGGTTGTCAGTGTCACTGCCTCCACCACCCAGGGGTACGTATACCACATGGTAAGGGGCTGCAAGCCTGCCACAGGCCAGCTAGCAGCAGAGACCAGAAGGGCAGAATGGGGTGCGTGGTCAGGGTGGTGCTGGCTGAGAACTATGGCCCCTAGGCTGTGTATTCTTGGAATACACAGACACATGCATACAAAAGCTGAGAGGATGGGTGGGGCTGAACACCAGTTAGACATGTACCCAGCAGAACTGGGGGCTGTCCCCAACCCTTAACCTGATCCCTAATTCAGGCAGCAGCTGTCAGATGAGGAGCTAGAGCGACTGGAGGAGGCCTGTGACATGGCACTGGAGCTGAATGCCTCCAAGCACCGCATCTATGAATATGTGGAATCCCGGATGTCCTTCATTGCACCCAACTTGTCCATCATCATTGGAGCATCCACAGCTGCTAAGATCATGGGTAAGTTCCCAGCTGGGTCCCGTGGGCTGGGTCTGCTGATAGGTTAGGCTGCCTTGAGGAAGTAGGGTTTGGCAGTAGGAACCCTATTATGTTGTCATCTGGAGACTGAGGTCAGCTAGCTTGGCACAGCACATAGTAGAAGCAGAGAAACCCCTTCTAGGTACAGCTGGCTCAAGCAGGTTGCACAGATGGCAGGTCAGCCTCCTGCCAGCAGGTCCATTTTGGACTCTGGGGCAGCCACAGAGTGGTAACGTCAGCTCCCTGACCCTTGGGCTTTCCCACTGGATGGGACAGCAAAGCCTGCCATGTGCTAAGTTCCTCCTCCCAGAAGCTCCTGTAGCCAGAATCTCCCTTCCTTTCGGGGGATGCTTGCAAAGGGAATGTGGGAAAGCCACCATCTTTGCTGACGTAGCTTCGGTCTTGACCCCACAGGCCAGTACTCCTGAGGCTGCTATTTCAGAGATGACAGGTCTGAGACCAAGGGGCTTTGGGGGTTGGTTTCTCCCTAGGCCCCTGCTTGGCTCAGGCATATATTTCTGTGTCTTCATGCAGCCATGCTGCTGTATCTGTATCCTTATCTCCCTTTCTCACAAGGATCCCAGTCAGATAGAATCAGGATCCATATGACCTCATTTTATCTTAGCTTTATCCATCTCCCTGAAGATTCCCTGTCCTGGGCCAGAAAGATTGCTTAGCAGGTAAAAGTACTTTCCACCCAAGCCTGACAACCTGAATGTGATCCTCTAAACCCACATAAAGGTGGAGAGAGCTGAGTCCCATAAGTGTCCTCTGATCTCCATGCACACTTCCCTACACACACACATAAAATAGTAAAAATAAAATACCCCCCCCCCCACACACACACAAATGATCCGATATCCTTCCAAATGCAGTGGCTTAGACCAGTAATCCCAGTATTTGGAAGGCTGAGGCAGGAGGATTCCTTGAGTTTGAGGCCAGCCTGGGCTACAGAGTAAGATACTGTCTCAAAGCATCAAATAAATGAAGGTGCCAAGTTGTCTTAGTCACTGTTCTATTGCTGTGAAGAGACACCATGGTCAAGGCAACTCTTACAGGCTTAAGCTATTATCCCCGTGATCATTGTGGCTTGGTAGCAGGGAACATGGCAGCAAGCAGGTGTGGTGCTGGAGTAGTAACTGAGAGCTGCATTCTGATCTGCAAGCGAAGACAGAGATTGGATCTGGCCTGGGCTTTTGTAATCTCCAAGTTCACACACTTCTTCCAACAAGGCCACACCTCCTAATCCTTCTAATCTGTCAGAGTTTCACTACCTGGTGACAAAGCATTCAAATATATAAATAAGCCTATGGAGGAAATTCTAATTCAAATCACCAAGGTGCACATGAGCCCCCAGATGTGAACCCTGTGTTCTTCTGACCTTACCTCTTATTGCAGGTGTGGCTGGAGGCCTGACCAACCTCTCCAAGATGCCTGCCTGCAACATTATGCTGCTGGGAGCCCAGCGCAAAACACTATCTGGTTTCTCCTCTACCTCAGTGCTGCCCCACACCGGCTACATCTACCACAGTGACATCGTGCAGTCTCTGCCCCCTGTAAGCCCTTTACCTTGTCCCCTGCTCCCAGCCCCCATGCCTTATCTGGTTTGGTTGATAATAGCACTCAGGAGCCTGGAGGATAGGACAGCATGGGTTGGAATAGGACACAATTCTGGGGCCACCACTTGGCAATTAGGATGGTGGGGTTGGTGGAAGCTGGGAACCCTGCAATTAGGTAGCTAGAGTATACCCCTCAAGAGGCTGTTAGTAGATATGCCCACAGGTGTGAAGCCTACCTCCTAGAACGTGGGATACAGCTGGACCTAGATGAGAAATGACTATTGTGGTGGCTGTTACCTTGCCTCTAGAGAGTCATAGTTTCCTCTCCCCTTTCCATTGCTCCAGGATCTCCGGCGGAAGGCAGCCCGGCTGGTGGCTGCCAAATGCACTCTGGCAGCCCGTGTGGACAGTTTCCATGAGAGCACAGAGGGGAAGGTGAGGAGAGGACAGGTGTCTGTCCCTGGGACTTGGGGTCTTTTCATGAGAAGCTACTTCAGAGAGCTCTCCAGACTAGCAGACGAATGTATGTGTCTGCAACCCTCACCTCTGAGCATCAGTTGCATAGGGCAGCTATACCAAATCACTGTTGATGGAGTGGCTTCATAGAGAAGTTTGCCGGGCCTGGTAGCTTATATCTTTAGCCCCAGTACTTGAGAGGAAGAGGTAGGAAGATCACTAGTTTGAGGTAGCCTGGGCTGTATAATGAGTTTCAGGCCAGATGAGGCTACCTAGTGAGATCCTAACTTTGAAAAAAAGCCCAGGGCTAGAGATGTGGCTCAGTTAAATTCTTGCATGCAAGTGTGAGGACTTGAGTTCACTTCCCAAACATTTGGGGGAGGGGGAAAGAGCACAGTAATGCATGCCTGTAACCCCAGTGCGGGGGAGGTGGAGGCAGGAGGGTATCTGGGGCTTGTGGGCCAGTCAACCAAATCATCAAGCTCCAGGTTTAATGAAAGACCCTGTCTTAAGAAATAAGGTGAGGAGTGAGTGTAGAAGCCATGTAATACTAATCTCTGGTCTCAGATGTGCACACATATACACACAATCTCACTGGACTAACATCAGGGTATTAGTTGGGCTGTTCCCATTTGTAGCCTCGGGGGAAGAAATGTTTCTGCCCTTGTCAGCACCAGAGGCCACCAGCCGAGGCAGCATCTCCAGCCTTTCTGACTCTGCTAGGTTGAGGCCCCTTGTAGGATATTGAGCTCACACTCAATGACAATGCAAGGTATTGTCACATCTCAGTCCTTAACTGAGTCACATTTGCAAAGATCCTCTGCTGTGTGAACTATAGTCACCGATTCTAGAGACCAGGACACCTGGCACCAAGGCAGATCTCTGTTGGAGAGGCCAGTGTTACCCACCACACTAGGACCTGCCCTCCATTAGTAGGGACATAACTCGAATGGTACTTTCTGTTTTCCTGGGTGGACTTAGGAAGTATGGAGTCTCTGCTGTGTGTGTGACTCTGCTAGAAACCCCATCACATCCTAAGTCAGGGTTCAGTCTCTCTCTCTGCCTTTTACCACTGTCTAGACAAGGCAATACAGCAGGGAAATACACAGATGTCAGATGTCTGCCTTCATGGCTTTTTTTTTGGGGGGGGGGGCAGTACTGGGATGGTACCTAGGACTTTGCACACTAGACAAGTGCTCTACCACTTAGCTACATCCTCAGTGTCACACACACACACACACACACACACACACACACACACACACACACACACTCTTTTGGTTTTGATTTTGTTTTGTTCTCATCTCTAGTCCAGGAAAGCCTTGAAGAATTTTGATCCTTCTGTCTCTGCTTCCCTGGTAACTGGGATTGGAAGTTGTTGTCACACAGTACTTAAGTTCTAGCTGGGACCAAAACACCTAGGCAGTAGGCCTGAAAAATCTATAATGGGTCCAGTAGTGCTGTATGAATACCAGGGATGATAAGGGGAATTGTGGGGTGAGGAAGCTTAGATTCTGACTCAGCTAGGATGTGAGGAAAGGCTTTGAGGATGTTGTAATATGGGCCTGAGTGAAATTAGAGTCAATTTTGTGGATACTTGGGCTACCCACTTGAAAGATGTTCCAAGCAGAGGGAATAGTGAGTACAGAGAACCTGAGGCTAGAGTTCAATGAACCCCAGCAGGGACAGGAGCCTGCTGCACCCAGGGGCAGATAGTGCAACCTTTGGGGCCTCTGGCTGCTGTGGAGGCACTGAAGCAACCCAGATGGGATCTGAGGTGTGAGAGATGTCACAGAGAGGTGACATGCTGTCTGCTGACTGGGGAACACAGGGATTCTGCTTGGCCCATTTATGCTTGAAGGACTTGGATGGAAGCAGTTACCCAGAGGGTGCAGAGCTTGGTTGTAAGGGTTGAATATGAGCTACAACTTCAAGGGGCGCCAGGCACTGAGAA